TTGATGGTCAAGAGAGAGGGGAATCAAATATCAATCTCCAGCCTGGAGAGAAGAAACTCAAAGGTTCGGGGATGACATAACATAGACGGGAGGGAGGACAATAGCATTAAAGGCACTGGCTTTGAATTCAATCCCAGCTCTACCCACTCGCCAGCTGTGGGACTTGGGCGAACTGCTTTACTTCTCGGGGCCTTAACTCCCTCGTCTGCAAAGTGGGACTAATTATAGCACCTGCCCCTCAGAGAAAAGTGAAGTAAAGCCACAGAGTTTTACTGCCTGGCAGGTAACAAGCACTGAAAACACAGTAACTCAGAAGTTATTCCAGGCACCTCTCCCACCTTCTTCCCTCTTCTCTACCCCCCCCCCCCCGACCGCCCCATTCTCCCCTTGATCTCTTGTTTTCCTGGCCAAATCTAAAAAGATGGCATTTTCAGAAATCCCTGTCTATAGCCATGTTTCATCCTTCTTTGTTTTGTTCCTGAAGACAGAGAGTAAGTCAGGAGATCACCCTGCCTTGACCACAGAGGAAACTCAGACATAAAGGAACCAAAATCCTATTAACGATGGTTGGACCATTTAAAGAAATTGACTTCCGGGACAGTGTACAGTTCTAGGAGTTTTAACACACGTAGATGTAACCACTACCACAGCAGGATACAGAACAGCACCTTCTCCCCCCAAAGCTCCCTCACGCTACCCTTTAGAGTCACACCCTCCCCCACTCCTAACCTCTGGCAACCACAGAGCTGTGTCTTTTTGAGACTGTCATGTAAATGGAATCATAACATATGCAGCCTTTGTTACATACATGTAACATGTGTGTCTTTCCTTCAACAGAATGCCTTTGAGATTTGCCCAAGTTGGTCCATGCATTGGTAGTTCTCTTTGATTGCTGCGTAGTATTCCATGTTGGGGACCTTTAAGAGAATTCTCAAGCATCCTTGGTGTTGTTTCTTAGTGAAGGTTGTCTCAAAATAATTGGTTCAAAGCAACAAATGGTGCACAGTTGTCCCCATGATCTGTGGGTATGTTCCAAGATTCCAGTGGAGGCTGGAACCTGCAGCTAGCACAGAACCCTATATATACTAGGGTTTTTCCTACACATATATACCTGTAATAAAGTTTGGTTTATACATCTGCACAGGAAGAGATTGACAATGATAATAGAACAATTGTAACAATATACTGTAATAAGTTATGTGAATGTGGTTTCTCTCTCAAAATCTTATTGTGCTGCACTCGCCCTTCTTGTGATGATATGAAATGATACAATGCCTTGAGCTTCTGCTCTTTTTCTTGAACTACGATCACCTGTCCTACTGTTAATGAGGTTACTCCCTCACATAGAAACGGTCAGGTTTCTTCCTGTCCTTGAACAAAGGTTGTTGGTTTTGCTTGCCCTAGAATAGATGCTCGTGTTAAGCCCCACCCCCTAGAGGAGCAAGATGAACAGAGGGACAGGTTCATTTCGGGAAGTGGAAAGAAGTTTGGGTTGCAGCTCTTGGTAACCTTTGCTTTGGGGGGGAATCCTGGAGGAAGTGTGTGGGAGGCACCTGTGCTGCTCATCATGCAGTGACAGCAAGAGTTCTCACCTCCAAATCAGCTCCTGACTGTAGTGATAAGAAGAGGATCCCCCCACACACAACCAGTAGCCAAGAAATAATCACCACCTTCCGGCCTCCCCCGTTATTAGAAAGCAATAAAAACTCCAACAAAAGAGAGACATCAGTTTGCCTGCTATTATCACTCTTTCTTCTTCTTTTTTGTTTTGTTAATCCTCACCCACAGATATTTTTCCATTGATTTTTAGAGAGAGTGGGAGAGGGAGAGGCAGAGAAACATCGATGTGAGAGAGACACATCGATTGGTTGCCTCCCGAATGTGCCCCAACTAGGGCCTGCAACCAAGGTATGTGCCCTTGACCTGAACCAACCCACGACCAACACTGTATCTCGGGCCAATGCTCTATCTACCCAGCCAACCGGCTTGGAATTATTACTCATTCAGCAGAAGCTTAGAGCTGGCCTCCTGGAAAGCAAGCACACAGCTGGCCTGGAGGATTCAGTGCATGGTCCCTATCCTCAGGGGTCACTCTGTGGTTGGGGGGGGGGGCAATTCCATAAAGAGATGATTCCAGCTCGATCTCTTGGGTCCATGGGATCTCAACCACACTGAACGGCATGGGCAATCCTGAGCAAACGGTGCTGCTTCCTACCTTTGCTGAAACTGCCTGCTGCCTAGAATGCCCCGCACCCCAACCCCACCCCAAGCCAGCAAAGATCCCACCTCCCACCTATGCCTCCTTCTCTGACAGTGGGTTTCCCATCCGTAGCAGATTCCACTAGAAGCCTGGAGAAGCCTCAACCTTCATTCAGGATCTGAAATTTTATTTTTACCTGGGACTGGACATTTCAATGAATAAACTGAGACTGTTAGTGACTTAAAAGCAACCATAGCATTGGGCTCTTAACCTAAACTTGGCAGAAATTTTGAAGGCCTGTGCCAGTTTTATTCAGGACAGGGGAAGAATAGAAACCTCCAGAAAAAATTACAAGAATTATGGAGATGCATTATAACAACATTCTACAAGCCACACTGTGAGGGGCAGAAATATTAATCATGCGCTGTTAACCATGTTAACGTAAAACAAACAAAAAACAACAACATTCCAAGCTGTAAAGAATTTTTGTGAGTATTTGAGCCAAACTGTCGACAATTGCCGGGAAGCAGAATCTCAATGGATTGGGATAATGCTCCAGAGAATGGCAGTTTGCACCTTGTTTTATACATTACAATCAAAGGAGGAGATGTAAGTGGGTTCCAGGAAATCCACTGGTGATGGATTAGGGAGGTGGGAGAAAGCAAAGCGGGCAAACCTCTGGGATTGGATAAAAAGTAAAATGATAGACATTTCTTTTACACAGGTGGGTACAGGATAGTTAACAGTCAACAATTAACAAGGTAACAATTATATGAAGGAATTTGTGGTCTCCTGTCCTGGCACCCTGACCCATTGGTTGTGCCCTGAAGGGTCCAGAAAAAGGGAAATTACAAATTACCCTGACATTCCAATGATATATTATCATAGATGCAAAAGACAACAGACAGGCTTAGTTAAGGTAAAGATTGACCTTTGTCAGGGAAGATACCAGCCTAGGACGTGACTATCCACTATAACTGCTTTTAGTTAAAGGTTTTTTTCTTTCTTTCTTTTTTGTTGTTGTTGTCGTTGTTGTTAATCCTCACCTGAGGATATTTTTCCATTAGTTTTTTAGGGAGAGTGGAAGAGAGAAAGACAGAGAAACATCAATGTGAGAGTAACACATTGAATGGTTAACACATTGAATGGTTGCTACTGCACACACCTGAGCAGGGCCCAGGCTGGGGAGGAGCCTGCAACCAAGGTACGTGTCCTTGACCGGAATCGAACCTGGGACCCTGTGGTCCACAGGCAGATGCTCTATCCACTGCGCAAAACTGGCAAGGGCAGTTAAAGTTTTAATTTCAGACCATCCTTTGGTTACTTTAGGTCTTGGAGTGTGTGAGACCGCCATTCAGGCCTTCCCTGAGCTTGTCAGGTTAGCATGTGGCCCCTTTTTTGTCTGTAACACCTAGTATGAAAGTTAACACACAGTAGGGAACAAGTGGCAAGAAGACACCAAGCTTTCACAATTTGATGTATTTACTTCACTGTCTGCTGATCAGTCGAATGCACACAGATGTAGCTGAGTCACTTTAAGCCATGCAATTGCCAGCACATAAACACATGCTAGCTCGGCCCTCTGGCTGAGTCCTCGGGGGCACTCAAGTCCCAGTGTGGCCTCTGGTTGTTCCACCTGCTCTGGCCAGTTCCCCCTGACCCTTCCCTGCTGCTCTCCTCCTTCCTTATCCCTCCTCCCTCCCTCCCTCCCTCCTCCCTCCCGTTCTCCTTCCTTCCCTCTTTCCCTGCTGCTCTCCTTTCCCTCCCAAATCTGTGCTGTTTGGTAGATTCAGACAGACCTGGCTTAGCGGCTTTGTGACCCTGAAAAGAGGCTCAACCTCTCCGAGCTTCCATCTCCCACTTGCAAAGCAGGGCTCCCTAATAGTTGTAGCTGGTAACCACGGTTGGCCGTGCAGCCAGCTCCCCATGCAGCCAGCTCCCCATGCCAGGCTCTGGGTGAGCACTTGGCATGCATTAGACCTCATTATTCCTCACCACAGCTCTCGAGGTAGGTACGGCCATTACCCCATTGGACAGATGGGGAAAGTGAGGCTGAAAGAGGCGAGGTAAGTTACCCAAGCACAATCTGAGCAGAAGTGGGATGCGATCTGGGTCTGTCTTTCTCCACCAATTTCAGGCTCGTGAAAATCCACAGGACTGCTAGCTGGCTTCCCTCCTCCCCTCCTTCTGAGATGGTGGCAAAGGAGGGAAGGGACAGTCAAGACAGACGGCAGGTTCACAGAAGCCTAAACACGTGGGCACTATTGGAGGTGCTTGGCATTCCTCCTTGTTTCATGCAGGCTGCAGTTCACCACTCAGGACTCCGGGACTCCGGGACGGCAAAGACCAAGGCATCTGCTTCTCTGGGCGGGAAGCACAGGTGCTTGGCAGACTGCTGGCGCAGTGCAACTGTGAAGGCTCAGGGGCCTGGGGAAGGGGACAGTGGCGACGAGTAGGGACAGGACAAGTCCACAGCAAACGAACCAAGGTGCCGTGGGCTAGAGAGAGATACCGCGAGCCTGTGGACAGAAGAGGGAGCGGGGAGGGCGCTTCCTCAGAGGTCATCTACTGGCACCACCATGTACCATGTCCTGCGTTAGGCTCTTTGACTTCATCTTATTTAATTCTCACAAGAGAGGAAACCAAGCTCAAAGTCAACGCCCTTGAAAAGCCGCTGAGCTGGGATTCAAATCCAGATCTGTCTGGTTCTGACACCCATGCCCTGTCCCCCTTACAGGCCGCCATCTGAGGGGACACCCACTCGGGTCTCAAAGAATGACGTCCAGAATAAATGAATCACTTTCAGAGAAAAGTGAAAAAACACATTCTCCCAAAATCTCACATCATAACCGCCCGGAAAAGCAAACATGAAGGTCACCGGGACACAAGCAGCCTGAGAAGAGCCATTGGAGCAAATGTCAGCTGCTCCCACACCTGGTGTCCTGCTCTCCCCACCAGCAGGACAACGAGAGTCCAGAACTGCTGCTGCTGGTTCCTTCCAGGGAGGCCTCTCACCTTCCGGGTCTTCAGGGCGGCTTCACTCGTTGAGTCTCAGTTTTGCTTTTTATACTGCAAGACAGAGAGGTCATTAGAAGTGGGTGAGGAAAGCCAAGGCGAGAGGGAGGACCAGGGAAAGGCTGAGAACGGTGGTCATCTAGGCCTCAGCTGCCCCCCGCAGGGACCTCTTGAAAGTGGTGGAACCCAGGCTGCTGAATCTAGTTGGTGCCTGGATCCCCCCTTTCTTCTTTAGTGGAAAAGGTAGCTGATGGGGTTGGGAGAAAGGATAAGAAAGACACTGGGGAACTAGAATTAAACACGGTGGCATGTCCATCGTTCCCTTTAAGAGGAGCCTTGTTTGGAGGGAGGAAAAACCTCAGGCAGAGGCGGAACCTCAAAAGCCATCTAGTCCAATCACTGAGTTTAAACAAATGAGTCCTGGGCCCAATAACTGGAGTTTCTGACTTAGAAGGACAGAGGAGTAGGGCATGTTTTCGCTCTCTAGGTTTTCTAACCAAAGTGTAAGGACCAGCAAGCCAGTCTATGTTACTGATTCTCTTTCTCCACCAAAACAGACACTTGAACATTTCCTTACTAACCTGCCTCAGTGGGAAAACCTGCAGAGACAGAGCTCACTACCCACCCCCAAGACAGCTCTTTCTTCACAACACTGTCAGCTTTGTCATATTGTTTCCAGTAAGACTGCTCTCTTCCTTCTTCCTGCTGCGCCATCTCACTCTCCCATTGATGTTTCTCTCTGCCTCTCTCTTTCTCTTCACCCCCCCCTTCCCCTCTCTAAAAATCAAGGGGAAAAATATCCTCGGGTGAGAATTAACAAAAAAAGAAATTTGTCTTTAGGGACTGAGGGTGTCCCCCTGCCCCCTCAAACACAACAAACACACAAATACAATCAGAAGGGCATCTGCCATCACCTTTTGGCTCCTCGAGGTGGGGAGCAGCGAGACTGTTCTCAATGTGGAGCAGAAGCGACCCCTGCTGGTCATCGAGATTACAGCTCACAGGTGTAGGTAGGAGCCAAGCACTTACTTTGTTCATGATCCAGTCAGCATCTTCAATGGCTCTTTTAATAATCTGCTGGATTCTCTCAGGATTGTCTTCATCTGAATGAACCCGGAAACTCTGAAAGTTTAAGCATAAAAAAAAGGTGGTGGCAAAATTCACAGGACCAGCAGCTTCAGAGCACCAGTCACAGGCCAGGCACACTGTGGGCACTTTATACTCAGCATCTCTCTTACCCTCCATAAGAGTTATGATTCCACATACAGATGAGGAGAACTGCTGCTAAGCAATGGTGTCAGCATTTGAATTCCGGTCTATTCAACTGCATAGCACATACTCTTGCCAGCAGGGCAGCTGTGAAATGGAAGACTGGTCCCTAAGTTACCACCCAAATCAAGCTGGACCCAAAGGTTATCAGGCGGGGGAAGGGTGATGGAGGGCCTAAGGCCATGGTCGGCAAACTGCGGCTCGCGAGCCACATGCGGCTCTTTGGCCCCTTGAGTGTGGCTCTTCCTAAGCCTTAGGAGTGCCCTAATTAAGTTAATAACAATGTACCTACCTATATAGTTTTAGTTTAAAAAATTTGGCTCTCCAAAGAAATTTCAATCATACTGTTGATATTTGGCTCTGTTGACTAATGAGTTTGCCGACCACTGGCCTAAGGGAAATTTCCAGCACCGTTTCTTTGCTCCTCCCAGGAAGCTGCTCACTAGGGGGAGATGTCTGCATGGCTTCACCACCGGGAAGAATAGGACTTCTCGGGCCCGTGCTGGAAAGCCACGCAGAGAAGGAAGGGGCCGTGGGAGGGTGGTGTGGGAAATCCAGCCAAGCCCAGTGCAGAGCCCAGGCTGCTGTTTGCTTCTGGCCAGATGTTCACCCTCGAGGAGCAACGTGAGATTCCGGTTCATTCAGGACAATCGGGCACTGGTACCTCCTCTGCCCTGTTGCTCTTGACCCCCCACTTGACTTTAGGAGCATCTCAAGTGCTCACCTCTGGGAAGTCCTCCCTGACTCCCTCACACAATGAACTGTTCCCTTCTCCATGTTTCCACAGCCCTCTGCTGCTTCCTCTATCGTTTCCAGTTTCCACATTATATCTGTATTAATTTTAGTTTTTAACTTTTTATTTGGAAATCATTTCTAACCTGTAGAAAAACTGCAAGAATAATACAAAAGAGTTGCCTTCAGAATCACCAGGTGTTAACATTTTGCCACATTGGCTTCACTATTCTCTCTTCATGTGTTTGCGTTAAACTCTTGGGAGCACTTCAAAGTTGCAGACAAGCCCTTCACCCCCAAACACTTGGGTGTGTATTTCCTAACAACAAGGGCATTCTCTTAATAACAACAGTACTCAAATTCAGAACATTTCACATGGATACAGTACTAGTGTATCTATCTAATTCACAGCCCAAATGCCAACTTCATGAATTTCCTCCAACAATGTCCTTTATAAGAATTGTTTCTCTTATAAAAAAATCCAGGATCCCATCTGGAATCAGGCGTTACATTTCGCAGTCACACCTGTAAACCAGAGCAGCTCTGGTGCCTTCCTCTGTGTTTCCCGACATCGATGTGTTTGACAAGAACAGGCCAGTGATGTGGTGGACGGTTCCTCGGTTTGGGCTTACCTGATGTTTGCTCACGGTTAAAGTCAGGTGTGCTTTGTCGACAGAGACCTCTGTCACAATGAGGATGTGCCTATTTTAATTATCCATTTGGCTGCCTATTTCAAGGCTTGGCACAGAGCTGGGGGGCTGGATGGCACATCCATCCTCTGTTTCCTCAACAAAAACCAGAGAGAAGAGCTGGGCTGCCCAGCACCGATACCCAGTGGCTCTTACTAAGCTGCCACCCCCACCGCCTGAAAGACCATCCCTGCCCCTGTTCCTGCCCCTGACCCCTGACCCTGATAGGCCCTCTATCAGAGGAATCTCCCCCACCCCCAGGCCCAGCATCCCCTGCTCCCACCTGCCTGACAGCGTGCCTGTAATGCTCCTGGATGCCCTTGGTGGGCAGCTGTCGGCAACAGCGCAGCAGGTATCGGTAGAGCTGCAGAGGCGTCTGGACCAGCTCTGCCCCCGGTAGCGGGGCATCTGCAGGCTGCCTGTCCCTGGAAAACACAGAGCATCGCGTCTAA